GCCTCAAATGGCCTTCGGGGACAGAAGGGGTACTTGACTTTAGTGTGACAGTTAATTGTGCCATCTCTCTCATTTTAAGGTGGAAAACAGCTACTCGATTTCTGTCCCGATCTTCAAACAGTTCCACAAGAACATCATTGGGAAAGGAGGTGCAAATATTAAAAAGGTGACTGGCCAGTCTGTCCCCTGAATGTGGGCTCTTCTGGCCTTGCCCTGTAGCCCTGCACCATTCTGGCTTTACCTCTGAGGGAGGGAGCCTCACGTAGCCCTGGGCTCTGTCTCAGCTGAGAAGCCAGATTCTCCTGATCTGCTCTCTTGTAGATTCGGGAAGAGAGCAACACCAAGATCGACCTTCCAGCAGAGAACAGCAATTCAGAGACCATTGTCATCACCGGCAAGCGGGCCAACTGTGAGGCTGCCCGGAGCCGCATCCTGTCCATCCAGAAAGACCTGGTAATGGGGTGCTGAATGGAGAGGCGCTGACCGGGCTCTCGGGTGTGGGAGCCTCAGCAGCTCCCTTGGCGTGGGCCTGGGGTTTAGGCCCGCGGGCAGGTGGCCCTCACTCACCAGGGAGAAGGCCTCGGTCTGGGGTTTGGGCCTGCTGCAGGCTTCCCGCCACTCAGCTCTCGTGGTGCTTGGGTGGGTACATGGAAGTCATCATGTCATGAAGGTGCTAGATGTTTCCTTGTCAATTTTTGAGAAATTTACATGGAAGAAACTATTAAGTGTTTAAAGGGTAATTTGCTAGGTTTTGATGTGTACTCCCACAGAGTCATATCCACAGCCAAGGGGAGGAACATACCCATTGCCCCCGAGATGGCCTCTGCCCCCTTCTGTGCTGCCTTGTCCCACTCGCTGCCCAGGCCCCCACGTGCCCCGATTCCGTGTCCCGCCCCAGGAGCAGAGTCAGGATGTCCTGCCAGCTCTCTGGACGACGACGGCCTCCCCGGCTGGTCCTGAGGGGCAGCCGCCAGCCATGGTGTCCCGCAAACCCCTGCGCTGCTCTGTGGCCGCACAGTGCTTCGGGGCATGGGTACAGGGTCTGCCTCCTTGCCTGAGCTTTGAAGTTTGTGTTTCAAGGGCTTTTCTGTTTCATCTACATTGTCAAAGTTTATTAACAGGATTTTCATCACATCCCAGTCACCCTTTCACTGTAGTGGCGTCATCTTTCTCATCCCAAGTATATAATTTACGTCATTATGCAGTGACTTCTCTTACCCCTGATTGTATTCCTGGCTCTCGAATCTGTTTTTCATATTAAAGTGGGCTTCATTTAGGCAGCTTGATTCTTCATTCAGTCTGACAGTCCGCCTCTTCAATGGACGTGACAGTAGCGGGCATCGCCGAATGCTCGCCCTAAGCATGTTTGCCATCGACCAGTATACGAAGTTCTTACAGTAGTGTTGACTGTATTTTTAAGGTGATCTAAATACTAGGAAATCCTTGCCTGTCTGCCCCTGTGAATGTACCCTCTGTGCCCTGCCTGTATGTCACACCCACACCCACGCCAGCCAT